TCTTTTTTTTTTTTTTTTTGTTTCTTGTTTAGTTTGTTGACTGTATCAGATCAGTTACCCTGACTAATTGCAGAGGATCATGGAATTCAGTATGCTCTGTTTACTTGGAGCAGTGCTGCAGAATCTAGCTCTTGTACCCTAAACACGAACATCAGGAAACAGTCAATGAGTTTATCCTTGGAGCCAGGAGCCACCAGCTAGGAAAACTTCCCAGAAGGAATTTTCTGCCTTCTGAACAACTACTGAGTCACAAGCAGGAGTACGTGCAGTCTGGTACTCTCCCATTGGAGAGTGGAGAGGTGTTTCTCTCTACAGCAACATCCTCCTTTTATGAGTGTGTCTGCACTGCGATAACTGTGTCAGGTATACACATGCTTTGATAACAGAGTAAGTGCAGCAGTGTGGAACTCAGTGCAGACTGTGAACACCACTTAAAGTGTGTAATAATGGGTGGTTAGACCATGCTCAGCTTGGTGCTGCTGTAGCCATGCTGCTTGCAGAACCTGTGCTAGCTAGTTTAAAGTGAGTTCAGCTGTGTGCACAAGCTGCAGACTTTAGCGTAGACATACTGTGTTCTTGTCTACTTTTCAAGGCTTCTGCCCCTCTCAGTCCTGCTGCCAGACAGGAGCCATGAGTGGAAAGTCACCAGTGTGGACACATCCTTATGGCTCTGGCTGGAACCACAGAGTTCCACTATAGCATCTGTGCTGGCATGATGGGCAGTGCACCCTGGGGGCAACCAATATTAAGGGGGCTATGGCAAATAGTAGAAAGGGTGGATGCATCTACTTGTGCCTGCTCCTAGGCAGCAGCAGAATCCTTGTGTCCCTCTCAGAACAGGCCTGCAAGGCCTCCTCCTACCTGCAAGGAGAAGGGGTTCTGGTGTCATAGGGGAATTGTGAGTTTTTGGATGTACCTGAAACTTTTGCCAGCAGAACTTGAGTTCTTCCAGCAAACTTGTGCATTGTAAACTATACCTAACTGTGCTTTTAACAATGGATTGCTGTTGTCATGGCATCCATCACCTGAGGGAACTGCTCCTCTGAATTATAGGTTCCCCCTCAAGTGTGCACTGTGTGTTTGCAAGGGAAACAAGAACACAGGAAAAATCTTTTGATGTTTTGGTGATTACTGGTCGCAAAGGGATTTCCTCAGGAAGAAAAAAAGCATCCAGTTATTTGATACATCTCTGTAATAAATCGAAACTGTGGAGTGTGCTCTTGTGTATCTGGTGAATCTTCTGTCCATGAATGTTGCTTCAGTGACTTCATGTCCTAAAGTGCCTTTTTCTGCCCCTCACTCTTGTTGACTGCATTTTCACACTAGTGCTGCAGATGGGAGAGGAACAGTGGAGAAAGCCCTGGTCATGCTGTTCACTCTCCCTTTCAGGATCCACTGTCTGCCCATGTAACACAGGCCTATTTATTGTTTAAGGGACAATGGGCCAATGCCCACTCAGAAATTCTTTAAGCCTCCCTTAGAAGGGAGGCCACTAGGTAAGCAGCAACTTATTCCTTGATACTAATCAAAATAACAGGGATGAGAGTGAGATCATAGTTTTAAAACAAGTGCACCAAATTGGGGGTATGGGGGAACTGAGCACAGCAGACTGGATAGCGCCCACTGGCTCTCAAACAAGTCCAGGGAGCCAGTGGACACTGCCTAGTGAAATGCCTGGAGACAGGATCTCATAAGCGAAAGGAAAGTTGCCCAGCAGTTCCTGGGGCCCCTCTTGGCCAGAGCCTCCTTCCTGTTAAGATAGATGGCTAGCCTGGCTCCTGTATAAACACAGGCTACTGGACAAGGTGGACCTACAGTTTGACTTAGTAAATGGCTGTTCTTGTGCCTATGTTCTCAGGAACTTTTTGGGTCCTGACTGAAGTTCAGACTGAAGTAGCCACGGAGCGTCTGGACAGACATTCATTTTCAATGCTGCAAATCCTGCTCCAATTTTGAAAGCTTCAACTAGAATGCTTCAGTTTTGAGCAAATATGTAAGATACCCCTTGCCTCCCCCTCCAAGTGCTTCAAAATATCCACAAACGCATACAGTACGTGCTCTTCAGATCTTCCTGCATGCCTCTTGGGCTCCTGAGTGCATCCAAGTGCTGTGGAGAAGAGCATGTGTTTGCTGTCCACCTCAAGAGAAGGGAAAGCAGAGCACTGAGAGATAAAAGGACTGAATCCCTTACTGCACTGTGGTGGAGGGTGTAGACATTTCAGAAAGTGCTTTGGATATATTTTAGATGCTTCATTAGGCATGAACATCTGCATCCTTGCCGTTTGTATCACTTCAAAGGCACTCGGAGCACTTCAAATAGCACACCTGCTCACGGTGAGAGTATTGGTGGCTAGAGTATGCTTGTGGTATGCCAGGTGAGCATATGTGAAGTGAGGTGTGGGCAGGGTATATTTAGGGCAAAAGCAAAAGATGAAGGGTGGAAATGAGAAAGGATAGGGGGGGGCATAAATGGCAGACCCTCAAGACCTTCAACCACTCAGAAACCACCTACAGTTTGAAAATGCTACACCTAAGGAAACATGGAGATTTTACATAAATGAAACACCAGTGTGATGGCATATTTTATTAATGAAATTTGCATACATAACATCAATCACTATATCTGCAAAATAACTGCACTGAATGTCACCCAAGTCCCTGTACCCTCAGAGCCTGCCTAGATAGCATTCACCCCTGCCCCAGACTCCGCTAAGATTTTCATCTAAAAAAGCCTTTTGGTATATACAAACCTGCAGAAATGAGGTAAGAAAGGATGCTGCTGCTCCTGTAATTAATTCACTTCAGACAATAGGGTAGGGCAGGCGTGGACAAAATGTGGCCCACCAGGCCATTCTATTTGGCCCGTGGGGCCCCTAAACAATTTAGAAAATTAATATTTATCTGCCCCTGGCTGCCTATCGTGCCACCCTCAATGGCTTGCCAAAACTCAGTAAGCGGCCCTCTGCTCAAATTAATTGCCCACCCCCTGGGTAGGGAGAGGGAATTCAACAGAAGACATCTTTGCTTCTACCGCCAACTGCTTAACATGGGAAAACGGTTAATAAGCCAAGTAACGGGGGCGGGGGTAAGATGGGTAGGTCCTAAGCCCTCTGTTAACCAATCGCCTGGGCCTTGGAGCCTCACCCGCTCCAGGGAGTTTCTGCTCCGATCACTTGGCCCAGGGCAGGTCTCACGTCCCAGCACCTAAGTCCCACCGCTTAGGTCCCTACCGAAGGGCTCCATGAGCAGTGGGAGGGCACGGCCCAGCACTAGCAGGCTCCTAATCGCGTTTTCTCCGATGAAAGCAGAGCCGGCCGCAGCGAGGCCCACCCCGAGGTTTCCCAGCCTCAGGCTCACACGTGGGGATGGGAGTCTCTGCACCCTCCTGCCCGGCGGTGGCTTTGGGCAGGGACTAGACAGCTGGCAAGAGAACGCCGCAGCAGGAAAGGGAAGATCGCGGCCCCTCCTGCCACGTGGTCAAGAAGAGTCGCGGCGCGCCGCAGCCTACGACAGTGCGGAAGAGTCAAAACACCCGCACAGTTCCGCCGGCAATGACGGTGGGGCGAGTGCCGGAAGTACGTGTCCGGAAGTGAAGCGAGAGGAGCGGGGCGTCTGCCGTTAGCATCCCTCTACTGCCATGGCTGCACTGGCTGCTCCTGTTCTCGTGCTGCTGCTGGCGCTGAGCCAGGCCCTGGGGGGCCGCGCGGCCGCCGACGACACCGACTGGGTCCGGCTGCCCAGCAAATGCGAGGGTGAGCGCGGGGAGCAGGGGCCGGGCTCTCGCCCGGGGGCCGAAGCAGGCGGGGCCGCGGGGGACGCGATTCTGGACCACAAGCCGGACCCGGAGGCTTCGCGGGGCCCCAGCCTGAGCTGCGGGCAGCAGAGGGGCCCCTGGCGCTGCTGTGCGAAGGGCGGAGGCAACCTCCCGGGGGCTCTAGGCAGAGCAGCGCGGGGGTGGTGCGAGCACCTGCGGGGGAGCAAGCCCCTGCGGATCACAGCAAAGCATCGACACCGGTGGTGCTAGTGTGGGGATGAGTGAGCAGGGAGGCCGTGCCTAAGGAAGGCCTGTGGGCGTGGTTCTCTATGGAACAGGTGTGTTCATGCAGGTAAGACTTTTGGGAGAAGGCCCAGCAGTAAGAAGTCAATGCTATCAGTAGTCTGCAAGTAGTAAGAGCAGAAGTAAAAGTCATGAATGTGCAGGAAACCAAAAGGTATGAAATAGCTTGGAGTTGGACTGCTGGAGAACTGAATTATTGGGCTACACCTTTGAATGCCCTGGCCAGACCCTGAGCTGTCTGACCAACAGGACAGGGAGTAAGACCTTGCTTGCACGGTAACTAGGATAGGAGTGTGTGCTGCGCCGTGAATAAACATTAGTGGATGGGAAATTTCTGCATCTCAAGTATTCTTTCTCAACAACTCACTGGCTCGCTGATCCAAGCATTTGGGGTAACACCTTGGGTCTAAAAAAGCTTGAGGACCCCTGATTTAGAGGGGCAGCTGGGGATTTAGATCCAGTCTTGCCCCCTTTCCCCCTGCACCCAGGAGCGTGTGTCTGGAGAGCACTGATCTCCTTCATCTTGGGCCCTCTGGCCCTCTTCCTTCCCCTAGTGCCTATCCCTGTGCTCTGCCCCAGCTGCTCTTCTTGTGGTGTGGCATGGGGGGA